AAAAAAAAAGGTTCCGTACGTCATGCGGACTGCGCCCCTCGTGTCGGTTGGGCGGGAATGGAGGGTAAAAAGCCGTTGGGATTAATTAAAAAAAAAAAAAAAATCTAATATGAGGAATTCAATAAAAGTTTAAAAAAATTTGCGCCATTTCGAATTTTAAAAATTCATGATCAAGCTCCAACGAGTAACAAGTTTCGAGCGAATGCAATAACTTATTAAAAATTGTTCCGCCATATTGGATTTCAAAAAACGCCACTCATCATTTAAGAGTAAACATTTTTACCGAATTTTCAAAACTATAACCGATTTGTTATCTCAACATATTAATTGTAAATTTTGAACTTATTAGTCTGAATTTTTAGAAAAATTTTGGGTATGCAGATAGATCGGCTATATTATTCTAGTGAATCAAGTGCAAGTTTAAGCGGCTAAAAAATCGCCTTGATTTTTAATGATTTGTTTTTTTAAGACAGATTTTGTGGTTTTATGCATATAACAATTGCAATTTATAAAATAAAGCGTTAATTTTTTTAATTTTATTTGCAAATGGTCATGCGCATTTTATTCTACAGAAGTTGTCTTTTTTTATATGGTAAAAAGTGCAAAAAGCCGTCAGAAAAAAAAAATCATTAAAAATCAACGCGATTTTTTAGCCGCTTAAAACTTGCACTTGGTTTACTAGAATTAAAAACTGATCTATCTGCGTACTCAAAATTTAAAAAAAAATTCATATTAAAAGGTTCAAAATTTTCGTTGAATTTTTTAAGTTCTGTATAAAGTTGTTGGTTTTGATTAAAGCATGAACCATATTTTTATAAAAAAATAAAAAAAAATTTAACTTGAAAATCATTGCAAATATTAAACAAAAAACACCATGCACTCACTTTTGATTGTCAGTGTAGATATGTACATATGTATGTATGTACGTACATATGTATAGTGTCTGCAACTGGTATTCGCATAGATTCACCCACAATTATAAACATAAATAGGGACATGCGTATATAAAAATATTATTACATAACTTCCTTTATGTTATGTTGACTAGCTTTCATAGTATATGGAAATTTCTTAGTTGTCACTACCCTGCAGCAAATCAAACTGGTTCAGAGCTGCCGCTGAACTAGCTTAAAAAGGGACGGTACTAGTTCTTCATCTATCCAAAATCAATTCGAAGTGGCAAATGCCCCCCTCTTCAGAACTTTTGAACTCGTTTCGAACTGGCTCCATTTTGCACAGATATTGGAAAATTAGTATTTTATGAGAAACAATTTTTAATATCCGATTTTTTGGATATGTTGTCGTATTTTATTTTGTTTAACAGATTCCACTTTATTTTACAGATTTTTTTTTATATATTTTAGGTTTAATATTATTCACTTAAATTTTTAAGTGGCAGAATTCAAATTTATTAAATCTGAAAACTCGTAACTGCTCCACCGCGAAGCTACTTTCGTATTTAAATACTACTTCTCAGCTTTCTCATGCTAAATGTGAGAAATTTTGACGACAGCGCAACTAGCACACCGAAAATTTCTGCTGTCCTATTCTGCAGCCGTTTTGCAGTAGTTTAGAGACTGTTCTTAAAAAATATCTAGGATGGAACAAGCGCTTTGCCAGACAGTATCTAAATTTTGCTGGTGGGTATATAGTTACATACATATACAAAAAATCTATGCGTGGCAAAGAGCCACACGTTTTTACATATCCGCCAGTGATAAGACAACAACGGTACGTGCTGCTGTTACCATATGTGTTTGTAGCAGGAATTTTTGTGTCCAAAATGTAAGGACACTAACGAATTTATAAGTTCTTTGGTCCCTTTGCATCATGTTTTTGTGGAATATTTTTGGTTAATCAGGGTATTTTTTCTTGTTTTGTACACTTAAAAAGTACAACTGACAAATGTGTAATGTATGTATGCACAAATGAACTAAAAAGTTATTAAAAAAAAATAAAATATTTACAAAAAAAAATAAAATCTACATTACAGCATAAACTACATCTTTAATTTTTCAACCAAGTAGCAAAAAATTAAACACACTTGGCACGGGGAATATAAAAACGCAGGGAATTTACTTACATAACTCCATATTACTATTAGAACTTTTGCTGCATTCGTAGATGTCTGATGCATTTTCTTCGATGAACAAGTAGCCTCTTCCTTCTCTTCTTCCTGCGTGGATGTCTCCCCGTCCTCAGGATGGAAGTCGTATTTGTCCACGTCGATGCCTTCTGCTTCCATAGCTTCCTACTGCCGTGATTGTATTTNATCTCTCGACGTACGAAAGCGACACTCTGTATGCCACCCATCATGCCAGTGCTGGTATATGGCGCAGAACCATCGACAATGACAACATCCTATGAGGCAACTCTTGGAGTATTCGAGAGAAAGATTTTGCGGAAGATTTACGGACCTTTANTCAGTGTAGATATGTACATATGTATGTATGTACGTACATATGTATAGTGTCTGCAACTGGTATTCGCATAGATTCACCCACAATTATAAACATAAATAGGGACATGCGTATATAAAAATATTATTACATAACTTCCTTTATGTTATGTTGACTAGCTTTCATAGTATATGGAAATTTCTTAGTTGTCACTACCCTGCAGCAAATCAAACTGGTTCAGAGCTGCCGCTGAACTAGCTTAAAAAGGGACGGTACTAGTTCTTCATCTATCCAAAATCAATTCGAAGTGGCAAATGCCCCCCTCTTCAGAACTTTTGAACTCGTTTCGAACTGGCTCCATTTTGCACAGATATTGGAAAATTAGTATTTTATGAGAAACAATTTTTAATATCCGATTTTTTGGATATGTTGTCGTATTTTATTTTGTTTAACAGATTCCACTTTATTTTACAGATTTTTTTTTATATATTTTAGGTTTAATATTATTCACTTAAATTTTTAAGTGGCAGAATTCAAATTTATTAAATCTGAAAACTCGTAACTGCTCCACCGCGAAGCTACTTTCGTATTTAAATACTACTTCTCAGCTTTCTCATGCTAAATGTGAGAAATTTTGACGACAGCGCAACTAGCACACCGAAAATTTCTGCTGTCCTATTCTGCAGCCGTTTTGCAGTAGTTTAGAGACTGTTCTTAAAAAATATCTAGGATGGAACAAGCGCTTTGCCAGACAGTATCTAAATTTTGCTGGTGGGTATATAGTTACATACATATACAAAAAATCTATGCGTGGCAAAGAGCCACACGTTTTTACATATCCGCCAGTGATAAGACAACAACGGTACGTGCTGCTGTTACCATATGTGTTTGTAGCAGGAATTTTTGTGTCCAAAATGTAAGGACACTAACGAATTTATAAGTTCTTTGGTCCCTTTGCATCATGTTTTTGTGGAATATTTTTGGTTAATCAGGGTATTTTTTCTTGTTTTGTACACTTAAAAAGTACAACTGACAAATGTGTAATGTATGTATGCACAAATGAACTAAAAAGTTATTAAAAAAAAATAAAATATTTACAAAAAAAAATAAAATCTACATTACAGCATAAACTACATCTTTAATTTTTCAACCAAGTAGCAAAAAATTAAACACACTTGGCACGGGGAATATAAAAACGCAGGGAATTTACTTACATAACTCCATATTACTATTAGAACTTTTGCTGCATTCGTAGATGTCTGATGCATTTTCTTCGATGAACAAGTAGCCTCTTCCTTCTCTTCTTCCTGCGTGGATGTCTCCCCGTCCTCAGGATGGAAGTCGTATTTGTCCACGTCGATGCCTTCTGCTTCCATAGCTTCCTACTGCCGTGATTGTATTTTCGTTTTGTTACTTGACGTGGTTAATCGCTTTGCCAATTCGTTTGTTAGAGGCAGTATCGTCAAATAATAAAACTTCATTATTTGCAAAACTTTTTCCTTGGGATTTATTTGACAATCCCACTTCTGACCCAAATTTTTACGATTATCTTTGTAATTTCGACGGATTTCATAATCCTTTAAGGCTGGTTTTCACTATGTCATATTTTGATAAAAAAATTTGGCAACATATTTTGACACAACTTTATCTTCTTTTTTCATACCTTTACCGATTATATATAGGGCCAAAAAGGACAGTTAGCCAATTTAGCAGGACATGTACACGACTGAATACCTATTCTGATCTAAATCAATGGGTAAACCTTTTTTAGTTTCATTTGACAATGTGTTTTCACTTATTTGACGGCACATGCCATTGAATTTGACATAGTGAAAACCAGCCTTTAGGTTCGTTTTACTGATTTGTTAGTGCAGTGGAAATGTATTATTGATCCGCGAGAAAAGGACCGACACTCACCATCTATTGGTCAACTTTAAAGCCGCTTTCGACAGCACTAAAAGGAGATGCCTATACACCGCTATGCCTGAATTCAGCATCCCCTCCAAACTGATATGGCTGTGTAAAATGACGTTGAGCAATACCACCAGCTCCGTCAGAATTTGAAAATACCTCTCCGAGCCGTGCGCCACCAAACGGGGTTTCAGACAGGGTGGCTCCCTTTCATGTGACTTTTTATACCTTTCATGAGCATGAAATGGTATTATAACTTTGGTCCGATGTTTGTAAGTACCAGAATAAGAAGAGATAGACCCATTAAAATGTATACTTAAATGATCAGAACGTCGAGCAGAGTCGACTTAGCCATGTCCGTCTGTCCGTCTGTCTGTCTGTCTGTCCGTCTGTTTGTATGCAATCTAGTCTCTCAGTTTTCGAGATATCCGGATGAAATTTGGTAGGTGGGTGTATTTTTATAATGTATTAATCATTTGTCGGAACCGGAAGAATCGGACCACTATAACATATAGCTCCCATACAACTGATTGTTCAGATATGAGATTTTTCGTTATAACTTCTCCATTTATGCAGCTACGAACATGAAATTTTGCAATACTTCCACCCATTATCAACAGAAAACTTAAAGTGAAAATTACAAAGATCGGGTCACTATAACCTATAGCTCCCATACAACTGATTGTTCAGATATAAGTATTTTCGTTATAACTCCTCCATCTAAGTAGCTAGGAACACGGAAGTTTGGCACTGTTGTCACTCATTATCAAAAGAATACTTTCAGTGAAAATGGCGAAGATCGGGTCGCTATAACCTATAGCTCCCATACAACTGATTGTTCAGATATGAGATTTTTTGCGATAGCTTCTCCATTTATGCAACTAGGAACATGAAAATTCGCGCCGTTTTCACTCATTGTTAACAGAATACTTAAAGTGAAAATAACAAAGATCGGGTCACTATAACATATATCTCCCATAAAACTGATTATTCAGTTATGAGAATTTTCGTTATAACTCCTCCATTTATGCAGCTGGGTACATGACATTTCGCAATATTTCCACCCGTTATCAAAAAAATACTTACAGTGAAAATGGCGAAGATCGGGTCGCTATAATCTACTGCCTCCATACAACTGATTGTTCAGATTCGAGATTCTTTGTTATAACTTCTCCATATATGCAGCTAGAAACATGAAATTTCGCAATATTTTCACTAATTACCAACAGAAAGTTTACAGTAAAATTAACAAAGAGCGGGTCACTGTAACCTATTTATACCCTCCATACAACTAATTGTTCAGATATGGGGTTTTACTGTAAAACTCCTTTATTTGGACTGCTAAAACAGATAAATTTCGTAAGCTATTCTATAAATAATAATACAAAGTCTACTGAGAAATTCGTCAAAATCTATGCTGTATAAGCTTTATCTCTGAAACCTCTGATTGTTCAGATGCCAGATATTACGATATATCTCCTTTATGTAGGAGTATGAACCCATTAAATTGTGTTACCGGTTTACATACCGATCACACAGCAGTGAAAATCACTTAGATTAGTGCTATTAAGGTATATCTTCCATACCTCTGATTGTTTAGATATGGTTTTTCATAAATATATGTATCTCCTCTATATATGTATTTTGTAAATATATAAATTTTTACAAATACAGTAATCTGTTAAAGTAAAATTTTCAGATGTTCATGAAAGGTATGAAGCCTTCGGCATAGCCGAAGACAG